TATGCTTACTAGTAAATCACAAAATGAGGTAGTTGATTATTTAATTACTAAGAGATTGTACAATGAAATTTGAACAATAATGGAGCAAAACATTCACTACACTACGTAGGCTTTTAGGTTGGACATTGTTTAGTTATTCTCTGTAAGATTAGTATCCCTGAGAAATCGTGATAGATCATTCTCGTTCGTTATTGTGTACAGTTGACTACATTTGTTTACCTAACAAGAATTTTCCCATCTCATGTTGAAGCATTGGGTGTATTGTTCATTATTCTCCGCTTAGTTTTCTCGACTGATAAAGGAGGTTCTGACGTTTGGTAAGACACTCGTTTATGTATACCTCTTTTCTTTACTTAATAGATGCAATATTAAGGTTCTTTTTTTCTTGTCATGTGAGTGTATCTAAGCATAACACTTTTGTCACCATGGGGTATCTAGTAACCTTGGATCTTTTATTTCTGATCTCTGGTAGCTGTAACACTTGTTTGGTCCTTTATGATCTGCAGAGTTATATTCTTTACTGTTTGTTGGTTTCAATATCACTTGGATAAAAGTGGATGTTTTATACTACTGCGTCCGATAGTTTATCTGCTCAGTTTTATCTTCTTGGAGAGCTAAGTAGTCGCTGATTCTGGTTATCTAAGTTGTTCTTCCATTCTTTTACTGTTTCTGGCACCTTTGTATTAAGAGATATTATTTGTATGGGTTTGGCATCTATGACTGCTGGATGGTTCTTGTCACAGTTATCAATCCTGGTGTTGATAAGCTTTGTTCAAGACTGAGGGTTTTGTTTCGAGTTGTGTCATCTGGTGTCTTTGTTTTGTAGGGGTCTCTCGATTCATATTTTCATTAACTAAGGTTTGAGATGTAAGTTTTTAGGTATCTGGATTGGTTGGTCATTACCTGAGAGACTACTTGGTAGGTTGATCTGGGGAAAGACGGGAGGTGGGATGCTGTGGCAGCCATGTTGTTAATGTTGTATGCCAGTGTGATTAAGACGTGGTGAGTTGGGTGGATTGCTGCCGGACGATCCTCTGGACTACATGGTTAGATAGTTGATTATCGGTGTTTTTGCTGGACTTGGTGCTGATTCCTCTTAGATGCGCTTCATATACTAAAGGTATGTTGTAGTTAAGAAGAAGTTGTAGTTTACAAAGTTAGGGTTGTTGTTCGGCTGGCAAGGGGTTTTCTTTCAGGTTGTGGCATCTTCCTTGAATCTCTATTATTTCCGATTGTCGGTTTCACTGTGGTAATCTTTGGTATTCCGGTGCTAGAGGTGGGTATGCAAGTTTGCTTGAACTAGGTCATCATAGGAGACATTGTAGCTCTGTTGTTGGAGAAAAGAAACGGACTTGAGTCGCTGCTGCCGCTGCCACTAACCCGGACTTAACATGTTCCTGTGGCGAAAAAGGAATAAGGACGCTGTTTGCAAAGGGATTACTATGCTACAAAATGAGAATCACCAGTCTGGAAGAGTTGCAGAGTTATATTGGTCTGGAAATTGAGAAACAATAGCAGGAGATAATCTTATGACTTTCGATTATGTGTTGAAAAGGCTAGCCAGTTGCATGAGATTTGGTAAAGAAATTGCTGCAATAGTGGTGATGTGAGTGAATTTAAGGCCAGCAAAGGCTGGTTTGAGAGATTTAAGACCGTACTGGCATACACAGTGTGTATGGCATGTGATGGTGCCATTCGGACCACATGGCGGCTGAAATATGTGCAATTGAAATTCAAGGAGTACAAGAGAGCTGAAGGACTGAACTGAACAAGTCGTCTCAATTGTGACATAAAAGGCCTCTTTGGAAGGAAAATTGCCAAAGACCTTCATTACACAAGGATATGGCAATGCCAGGACACAAGCTATGAAAGACAGGCTGGACAATAATGTCCTGTGCTAATGCTAGGGGATTTAAAGTGAGCATTACTAGTGTCATTCTTGTAAAATCCAGAGTGTTCAGGAAAACAATGTTTGAGAGTAAAATTGGTGTTTTGGAAAACTAATAGTAAAAGACTTGGTCACGAGGGCAAATTTCGTCAATGGTTCAATGAAAGTGTTGGCATGTGGAAGGAGTATCTCTGAATAAGAATTGGTATTCTAGTGCCTGCTAGTATAGGACATTTGCACTGCTCATCCTCTAAACTTGGAGACCTAATTTTCGAGGAGTTTGGGTCACCATTAAAGTCTTGCCCCGAATACACTCCTCAGTTTTCGCAACCATGGACCGCAGGTTATTGCAAACTTGAAAAAAAAAAAATACCCCAAAAGCAATGTTCACAGAGTGCTTGACTGTGACAAGACGCTCACTTGACCTAAGGGAATTTTGAGAGAACACTTCAGCTCCTCCATTGCAATACCCTTATAGGTAATGCTTGGGAGGGAGTGACTACCAGACTTTGAACTCTGCCTGGATGAAATTTGTGGCCAGATTGTGTCGAACAAAGGGATTTTGAAGTTTGTGACTGACCTAATAGCCTTGTCTGTGGTAAAATCAATTGTTGGCATGGGGAGATCCATGGTTGGATGTGAGTTTGGAGGATGGAAGAATTGGTGGAAGACCAATGAAGAGCTCACCTGAGGAGCTTCAAGCGCTTCACAGGAAGAGCAACACATCGCCAGCTCAGAACTTGTGCGAAGGAGGAGGAAGAGGATGGAAAAAAGGTGCCTTCTTAGAAAATTAAATATTTTTTTATGTGGGGTAATATGTGGGAAAATCACCCAACAAGGTTTGTTGCAAGCCAGGTTGGGGAAAATGTAGTGAAATCTTGGGCATTTTAGGGGGTGTTTTAAAAAGGCCAGAAACAGAACTCTTCCACAGTTATTTTGCGGCAACTCAGTACTCTAAGGGGGACCTTGTGGCATTAAGAAACGAAGGGAAAAACCCCAGAAAAAACAAAAGGGACCCGATGTTTTATGGGAAGGGGATTCCCCTTCCCCAAAATAAACAATCCACTCCCTCTCCCTCCAGCCCCATCCTAAGAAGAATCTCCAATAAAGGTAAGTGTTATGCTGTTAATGTTTCATTCATCATTTCCCATTGTATTGTTTATGTGCTACATGTATATTTCATGTAAAAAATTTTTTTGTTTTAATACTTCTGGGTGTCAGGAACGGATTAATTGTATTTACATTGTTTCTTATGGGGAAAATTGATTCGTAAATCCTAAATTTTGTTTATAGTAACGCTCCAGGAACGGATTAATTACGAAAAACGAGGGACCACTGTATCTGAAAACATTCACTTCTTCCATACTCCTCCTCCCCAATTTGATATCCAATTTTTCTTTATCTAAATCATTTGATACTCTCATCACCTTACTCTTTTCTATGTTCACTTTCAACTTTCTGCCTTTACACACACTCCCAAACTCATCCACTAACCTTTGCAATTTTTCTTTAGAATCTCCCATAAGCACAGTATCATCAGCAAAAAGCAACTGTGTCAATTCCCATTTTGTATTTGATTCCCCATAATTTAATCCCACCCCTCTCCCGAACACCCTAGCATTTACTTCTTTTACAACCCCATCTATAAATATATTAAACAACCATGGTGACATCACACATCCCTATCTAAGACCTACTTTTACCAGGAAGTAGTCTCCCTCTCTTCTACACACCCTAACCTGAGCCTCACTATCCTCATAAAAACTCTTTACAGCATTTAGTAACTTACCACCTATTCCATATACATGCAACATCTGCCACATTTCTCCCCTATCTACTCTATCATATGCCTTTTCTAAATCCGTAAATGCAATAAAAACTTCCCCACCTTTATCTAAATACTGTTCACATATATGCTTCAATGTAAACACTTGATCTACACATCCCCTACCCACTGTGAAACCTCCTTGCTCATCCGCAATCCTACATTCTGTCTTGCCTCTAATTCTTTCAATTATAACCCTACCGTACACTTTTCCTGGTATACTCAGTAAACTTATTCCTCTATAATTTTTACAATCTCTCTTATCTCCCTTCCCTTTATATAAAGGGACTATACATGCTCTCCGCCAATCCCCAGGTACCTTCCCCTCTTTCATACATTTATTAAACAAAAATACCAACCACTCCAACACTATATCCCCCCTGCTTTTAACATTTCTGTCGTGATCCCAACAGTTCCAGCTGCTTTACCCCCTTTCATTCTACGTAATGCCTCACGCACCTCCCCCACACTCACATCCTGTTCTTCTTCACTCCTAAGAGATGGTATACCTCCCTGGCCAGTGCATGAAATTACCGCTTCCCTTTCTTCGCTGACATTTAAAAGTTCCTCAAAATATTCTCGCCATCTACCCAAAACCTCCATCTCCCCATCTACTAACTCCCCTACTCTGTTTTTAACAGACAAATCCATTTGTTCCCTAGGCTTTCTTAACTTGTTTAACTCACTCCAATTTTTTTCTTATTTTCATTAAAATTTCTTGACAGTGCCTCTCCCACTCTATCATCTGCTCTCCTTTTGCACTCTCTTACCACTCTCTTCACCTTTCTTTTACTCTCCATACACTCTAATCTTCTTATAACACTTCTGCTTTGTAAAACCTCTCATAAGCTAACTTTTTATCTTTTATCATACCCTTCACTTCATCATTCCACCAATCACTCCTCTTTCCTCCTGCACCCACCCTCCTATAACCACAAACTTCTGCCCCACATTCTAATACTGCAGTTTTAAAACTATTCCAACCCTCTTCAACACCCCCCCCCCCCCCACTACTCATACTTGCACCAGCCCACCTTTCTGTCAATAGTTGCTTATATCTCACCTGAACTTCCTCCTCCCTTAGTTTATACACTTTCACCTCCCTCTTACTTGTTGTTGCCATTTTCTTCTTTTCCCATCAACCTTTTCCATCTAGTTATTAACCAAAATTACACTAAGTGAAGTCTTTGAGTAAAGATTTATATATTAATTTATTACTACCATTAAAGCATCATGGTTTATATGTTTTGTATATAAATTGAAGCATTTATTTTTATTGTATAACAGGCCTAAGCAAGATAATATGGTAAGTTTAACATTGGACTCCAAGCTACAAAACTGCCAGCAACGATCCACCCTCTGCACTAGAATAAAAGAGCACCCAAGTCCGGGCTCCAATCCAGGATCTCCTGTCACTGAGCTACCACCTCCATTCATCACCAGAGTTAGTCTGCCAGCCCCGTCCCGCAAGTCACATCAACGCTCTCGTTCAGATGCTACCGTGGCACTTCAAGCTCAGTCCAGTTCCTCCCGGGGACACAAGCGCACTCCATCATCAGGTTGGCCAGTTTTTTTGCTTCTAATCATTAATGATTTCTTTTGAAAAAAAATATAGGTCATGACGGCATCACTAATCTGGCAATCAGTTATCCTGTTCCATCAGTAATCCGGCACTAATTTTGGCTAGCATAATTTGAAATTTCATCATTATGCTGACTTGGATCATTATACTGACTCAGATTTCATCACTATACTGACTCAGGAATTGTGCAGATAGTTGTAAATCCACAGCAGCAAGCCAGTGATGAAAATGAGGAAGATGTAGCAGAAAGTCTCTGTTGATAGGTTAATTCAGTTGACAGGTGAACTGCTAAAAGGTCTAGAGCAACACAGTTTTATAAGTGAACAATAAATAATGAATGTTTACATGCTGCAGGATAAACTAATCAAAGAATGGCCAAAATATGTGAAACAGCTCAGCTTGGTTAACTTTATTAAGTGTATTCTAACCTAACCACTTTGTAATCTGGCAAACTCACTAATCCGGCACACTACAGGTTCCAATGATGCCAGATTAGTGATGGCCGACCTGTATCTGTATTCCTATTACAGACCAGGCATATCTTGTTAATTTAGCGGGTTAAATTCGAGACTGCTACCATAAAGCGAATATTGCCTTAGAGTGAATCACAGACTTCTTTTTACTTGCCAGTGCATATGAAAAACCAAAAAAACACGTTGAGTCTATTATGTATTTATTAAGTGTGCAATAACACCAGGTCTGAACAACAGTGCAAAAGTAAAAATAATAAGTAAAAAATTAAAAATTGCTGAAAACCATTTTAAGAGCAAGACAAGTGCCAAAAATAATAACCGTGATTATAAGTGAAAAGTGCTGTATTAGCCAAGCGCTATAAAGTGAGTGTCGTATTAGCCAAGTGCTGTAAAGTGAGCACCGTATTAACCAAGTGCTGTTAAGTGAGCACCGTATTAACCAAGTGCTGTAAGGTGAGCTCCATGTTAGCCAAGTGCTGTAAAGTGAGCACTATTAGCCAAGCGCTATAAAGTGAGTGTCGTATTAGCCAAGTGCTGTAAAGTGAGCACCGTATTAACCAAGTGCTGTAAAGTGAGCACCTTGTTAACCAAGTGCTGTAAGGTGAGCTCCATGTTAGCCAAGTGCTGTAAAGTGAGCACTATTAGCCAAGTGCTGTAAAGTGAGTGCCATATTAGCCAAGTGCTGTAAAGTGAGTGCTGTATTAACAAGGTATGACTGTAGCAGGTTTATTAGGATTGAAAATACCATACAGGTTGGCCATCACTAGTTTGGCATCATCGGTACCTGTAGGGTGCTGGATTAGTGATTTTGCCGGATTACAGAGTGGTTAGGTTAGAATACACTGAACCCAATGGCGATATTTACACATCAGCGATTTCACCCACTTTATGCCCTATTTTTGGCTCATTCCATTGTTCCAGTCTACCAAACTCGTAGCTATTTTGCTAGTATTCTTTTTATTCTGTCGATTGAGTACAAGAAACCGCCCATTCACCTATTTCAACTATCCAAAAAAGTGGTTAGAAATTGGCAATTTGGCCAATTTCACAGAAATTTCAAAAGATGTCAATTTCAAAATAGGGCCCAGAATAAACAATGCAGACATTCCTGGCAATAAAATAACATTTTCTCTGTTCATCATCATGTCTCCAGGCCCCTCTTATATTACTCTTGCTTTCTATTTTGAATTTTTATTAACACAAAAAATAGATGATTTACTGTTATGCAGACTACTGCATTATTGTAATAATTGTATAAATAATGTCAACCCATTTGTGGCTGCTTATTAGACCGACCAGTTGGACACATATTGGACGGTGACGTTGTTTGTTTACTCTTGAACATCGGCAAAAATTGAACAGTTCCGCTACTTTGAGCTCAATTTTAAGGTACTTTCCAGTTTGAAACCAATCAAAATTATATCTATTTCTATAATATATCTTCCATTCTATCAAATGAGACCAAAACAACGAGGATACAATCATGCAAACTACAAAAATACACAGCAAAATCGCTGTTTTACACCAAAAACACAAGCCTTTTTATTTTCTTTACATACTGCGTGCTGCATGATCTTTTATGTAGTGCACACTTACCACACAGACCTTTTCTCTCATATGTAGGCCCAAATTTACTGGTCACAGCTTATCTGAATGAGCTAAACTCATGGTAACTGACAGTGGCTTTGAAGCCACCTTATCTTTTATGACAATGTACGGTGTATGTGCTTTACAGAATGAGAAGCATCTCTTTTATTCATTCGAACCATGGCTAGGGCTAAAGGTGAGCAGGTTATAACAATAAATGGAGAAAAAGAAATTGGAATGACTTATACAGCAAGTAGCACCACCAAACAGTAGTGGCAGGTTGGTGTGGAGACCCCGGAAATTTGAAATTATACTAACCGAATTTAGTGCCAGATTACTTACGGAACCAGATTACTGAATGTTGGATTAGTGATGGCCAACCTGTACTTTGTCAACAACAACAAAAAAAAAAAGCGTTAAATACACATGCATCATACACTCATTGCAGCTTCATATTGATTCTGCATTTCAGTCAGTTAATTTTAGTTGATGTTTTCTAATTTATCAGTGATCAGAGGAGTTGCTGTTTGCAAGGATAATAAGAGAATAAATGTTTTTACAGGTTAAGCACTTTTTTGGCAATTAAAAATTGTGAAAGAACTAAAATGAAGAATAACAAATGCATAAACAAAAAATATTTTTCTTTAATTAAAGAATGCTATATTGTACAGTATTACTCATTCCAGAATTTATTTTCCATAGGAAGCCTCAAAAATTGTCTTGGTGACCTTACTTCAGGTCGAGCCTTTGACAATGGCTGTTGCTGCTTTGACTCAGAAGAAGCTAGATGTAACTCACTACGGGGAAAAACCATAGAGTGTCACTGTGGAGTAAGTATTGAGTTAACCTTATTGTCCTATCATCTTTATTATTATTATTCTTTCATCAAACCTGTTGTATTCCACTGAGGCCTAAAAAAAAAAAACGAATTTTTTTTTTCCCAACAAGTTGGCCATCTCCCACTGAGGCAGGGTGACCCAAAAAGAAAGAAAATCCCCAAAAAGAAAATACTTTCATCATCATTCAACACTTTTACTTCACTCATACATAATCACTGTTTTTGCAGAGGCACCCAGATACAACAGTTTAGAAGCATACATAAAGATATTATATAACAAATCCCTCCAAACTGCCAATGTCCCAAACCTCTCCTTTAAAGTGCAGGCATTGTACTTCCCATTTCCAGTACTCGAGTCCGGCTGTATAAAAATAACCCTTCACTAAATATTACCCTGCTCACCCTCCAACAGCTCGTCAGGTCCCAAAAACCATTCATCACCATTCACTTCTATCTAACACTCACGCAGGCTTGCTGGAAGTCAAAGCCCCTCGCCCACAAAACCTCCTTTACCCCAAAAGTTATTATTATTATTATTATTTTTGTATCAGTCATTTTGTTTTGGAGAAAAGTTTGAGAGTATACATCTTTGTTGACTTGACACATGCGTGCACAGGAAATATTTCTCATTACAAAAACCAGGCCATGTATCCTCCTGGTGGACATTTTGTGTGTGTGTGTGTGTGTGTGTGTGTGTGTGTGTGTGTGTGTGTGTGTGTGTGTGTGTGTGTGTGTGTGTGTGTGTGTGTGTGTGTGTGTGTGTGTGTGTGTGTGTGTGTGTAGTTGGATTATATGCCTATGACTAATTTTGGGACATCCCATCCTCCTAATGAAAGTCAGTATTTTACTCTGTCATAGACATTCTGATGTGTGGCTGTCGCCTGGGAATGAGAGGGTGAGTGACTATACGTTAATGTGTACCTAGGGAGTTCCCGTTTACTATTAACACTCCAAACACTTCTGCTAACTCTATTTATTATTACACTTGTGGTATGTTGCAATTTGTTAAATTTTTCATATAGATGACAGTCTGACTTAAGCAAACTAAATAATGTATATCCAGAAATTTGCTTAAATATAAATGAAAAATCAGTGGTTGCTTTAGGAGGATGAGTTGTTGGAGAATTGTTATACGTATATCAAGAGCATTGTGACTGCTGTATCAGCCAGGCTGTTGCTACCTGCTTCCCTCAAGTCTAGCAGATCACACAGCCTGCCTGATATGTTCACGCTTGAAGTCTTATCTTTGCTATGATATACAAGATATGATGTAGGGTGAAATGACAGTAGTTTGTTGGATTATGTATTGGTAGATAAAAGACTGTTGAGTAGACTTCAGGATGTACATGTTTATTGAGGGGACACAGATATATCAGATCACTTTCTAGTTGTAGCTACACTGAGGATAAAAGGTAGATGGGGTACAAGGAGAATAGAAGCATCAGGGAAGAGAGAGGTGAAGGTTTATAAACTAAAAGAGGAGGCAGTTAGGGAAAGATATAAACAGCTATTGGAGGATAGATGGGCTAATGAGAGCATAGGCAATGGGGTCGAAGAAGTATGGGGTAGGTTTAAAAATGTAGTGTTAGAGTGTTCAGCACAAGTTTGTGGTTACAGGAAAGTGGGTGCGGGAGGGAAGAGGAGCGATTGGTGGAATGATGATGTAAAGAGAGCAGTAAGGGAGAAAAAGTTAGCATATGAGAAGTTTTTACAAAGTAGAAGTGATGCAAGGAGGGAAGAGTATATGGAGAAAAAGAGAGATGTTAAGAGAGTGGTGAAGCAATGTAAAAAGAGAGCAAATGAGAGAGTGGGTGAGATGTTATCAACAAATTTTGTTGAAAATAAGAAAAAGTTTTGGAGTGAGATTAACAAGTTAAGGAAGCCTAGAGAACAAATGGATTTGTCAGTTAAAAATAGAAGAGGAGAGTTATTAAATGGAGAGTTAGAGTTATTGGGAAGATGGAGGGAATATTTTGAGGAATTGTTAAATGTTGATGAAGATAGGGAAGCTGTGATTTCGTGTATAGGGCAAGGAGGAATAACATCTTGTAGGAGTGAGGAAGAGCCAGTTGTGAGTGGGGGGGAAGTTCGTGAGGCAGTAGGTAAAAAGAAAGGGGGTAAGGCAGCCGGGATTGATGGGATAAAGATAGAAATGTTAAAAGCAGGTGGGGATATAGTTTTGGAGTGATTGGTGCAATTATTTAATAAATGTATGGAAGAGGGTAAGGTACCTAGGGATTGGCAGAGAGCATGCATAGTTCCTTTGTATAAAGGCAAAGGGGACAAAAGAGAGTGCAAAAATTATAGGGGGATAAGTCTGTTGAGTATACCTGGTAAAGTGTATGGTAGAGTTATTATTGAAAGAATTAAGAGTAAGACGGAGAATAGGATAGCAGATGAACAAGGAGGCTTTAGGAAAGGTAGGGGGTGTGTGGACCAGGTGTTTACAGTGAAACATATAAGTGAACAGTATTTAGATAAGGCTAAAGAGGTCTTTGTGGCATTTATGGATTTTTAAAAGGCGTATGACAGGGTGGATAGGGGGGCAATGTGGCAGATGTTGCAGGTGTATGGTGTAGGAGGTAGGTTACTGAAAGCAGTGAAGAGTTTTTACGAGGATAGTGAGGCTCAAGTTAGAGTATGTAGGAAAGAGGGAAATTATTTCCCAATAAAAGTAGGCCTTAGACAAGGATGTGTGATGTCACCATGGTTGTTTAATATATTTATAGATGGGGTTGTAAGAGAAGTAAATGTGAGGGTCTTGGCAAAAGGCGTGGAGTTAAAAGATAAAGAATCACACATAAAGTGGGAGTTGTCACAGTTGCTCTTTGCTGATGACACTGTGCTCTTGGGAGATTCTGAAGAGAAGTTGCAGAGATTGGTGGATGAATTTGGTAGGGTGTGCAAAAGAAGAAAATTAAAAGTGAATACAGGAAAGAGTAAGGTTATGAGGATAACAAAAAGATTAGGTGATGAAAGATTGGATATCAGATTGGAGGGAGAGAGTATGGAGGAGGTGAATGTATTCAGATATTTGGGAGTGGACGTGTCAGCAGATGGGTCTATGAAAGATGAGGTGAATCATAGAATTGATGAGGGGAAAAGGGTGAGTGGTGCACTTAGGAGTCTGTGGAGACAAAGAACTTTGTCATTGGAGGCAAAGAGAGGAATATATGAGAGTACAGTTTTACCAACGCTCTTATATGGGTGTGAAGTATGGGTGATGAATGTTGCAGCGAGGAGAAGGCTGGAGGCAGTGGAGATGTCATGTCTGAGGGCAATGTGTGGTGTGAATATAATGCAGAGAATTCGTAGTTTGGGAGTTAGGAGGAGGTGCGGGATTACCAAAACTGTTGTCCAGAGGGCTGAGGAAGGGTTGTTGAGGTGGTTTGGACATGTAGAGAGAATGGAGCGAAACAGAGTGACTTCAAGAGTGTATCAGTCTGTAGTGGAAGGAAGGCGGAGTAGGGGTCGGCCTAGGAAAGGTTGGAGGGAGGGAGTAAAGGAGGTTTTGTGTGCGAGGGGCTTGGACTTCCAGCAGGCATGCGTGAGCATGTTTGATAGGAGTGAATGGAGACAAATGGTTTTTAATACTTGACGTGCTGTTGGAGTGTGAGCAAAGTAACATTTATGAAGGGGTTCAGGGAAACCGGCAGGCCGGACTTGAGTCCTGGAGATGGAAAGTACAGTGCCTGCACTCTGAAGGAGGGGTGTTAATGTTGCAGTTTAAAAACTGTAGTGTAAAGCACCCTTCTGGCAAGACAGTGATGGAGTGAATGATGGTGAAAGTTTTTCTTTTTCGGGCCACCCTGCCTTGGTGGGAATCGGCCAGTGTGATATTAAAAAAAAAATATGTTTCTTAAATTTCATTTCAGAAGGCTCAAGTTTTTGAACCTTATTCTCAGTGGTGTTTTTTAAATACTGAACTGTATGTGAAAAGGTTTACATGTATACTCGCTTGGAGGATATGTTGAGTGTTGTACAGTGGTACCTCGAGTTATGAACTTAATTCGTTCTAGAAGGCTGTTCGAGTGCTGATACCGAGCAAATTTGTTCCCATGAGGAATAATGTAAATTAGATTAGTCCATTATATTAGTTCAAGTTGGGAGCTGTTCGAAACTCGAGGTACCACTGTAGTTGGTTCTGGGGACTATTGACCTAATGGCCCAGTCCCAGACCAAGCCTCTGGTTGATAGTCTCATGAATCAGACTGTTGGCACAATCAAGCATGCAGTCCAAAGTGGGCACCACAACCTGGGTGATCAGTTTCTAACTGAGGGTAACCTATCAAGTTCCCTCTTGAAGACAACCTGGAGTCTGTTGCCAATTCCCCTTGTACATATATGAATGGAGGGTATTGAAATGTTTTGGTCCCTTTACACTCTTAGTGTACTCACTGTCTACCCTGATTTTCACTGGAAGTTTTATGAACTCTCTTAGAGAAGTGTCTTGTTGTGTAAGAGGTTGTAAGAAGTGTCTTGTCGTATGAGAGGTTGTGAAAAATGTCTTGTTGTGTAAGAGCTTGTGAAAAGTATCTTGTAGTTATTTTTTTTATATAATAAAGTCCTTGATACTGTGTGTGTGTGTTATATTGTCTTGGTTTTCAAAGTATTGTTTTATCATATGTTTTGTGTGATTAGTGTCTTGTTAGTATCATGTGTTGTATGGTTATAAATGTTACAATCTCTGGCTGGTAATTCCTTGTACCACATGCAATGAACACAGTGTTTTAACTGATACTGTACTGTATTGTATATATCTAGTATTTATAATGCTATTTTTAGGTTTTTACAATTGTTAGCTTTACTAAAAAAAATTATATTTTTAAATCATATGAAAGATTTCAGAAAATAACATTTAATTTTAATGCATAAAGGGTCTCTTGTCATCATTTACACTGTATACTTATCCATGAGTTAAGAAACTTTCCTAAATTCATATTGATTTCAAGTATCTTCATTTAGGCTCCAAGATTATCTCCGGAGTTGGAGTTTGTGCGTGCCCTGATCTCCGTTGGTAAACGCCTGGGAGCACAGCCTACCAAAGAAGCAAAAACATCTCGATTACTTGCCGAACTGTCGGTCCTAAATTTAAACCTACCTGCACGTGTGTACCTGCCATTGTGTGCCACAGAAATGCCCCATCATGTAGTGCGCATTCCACCACAAGCTGCTGTTGTGCTAAACTCCAAAGATAAGGTGAGTGGGAGGGTTGTTGTTGTGTTAATGCTAAACCCTAAGGGTCATTCAGTGCTGCAGGGAAGTATATGTAAAATTAGAAATGTGCGAAGGCTAGAAGTGAGCGAGGGGCAGGAATGTGCAAAGTGAAGGATTAGTGGAGGCAGAGATTACTGTAAGAGTAGAATTGAAATCAGTTGGTTCAATAGCTTAGTTTCCATTAAAATGTCTCCATTGAAGGTGGGACTTTTAGCAAGGTCAGTGAGTGTGTTAGAGTGGTATAGATGTTGAAAGTGTATCCTGTGTGTCCTCTGATAGACAGGATATTCTTTTAATATACATTGAACAGAGTCCTTGCAGAATGGTATCATTTGTTTTTCTAAGTGGTATTTGTGAGTGAATCAAGTGTGTCCAGTCATAATCAATAGAGTGCAGTTTCCCAAACCTGATAATGGTGGGAAGAAGTTGGCCAGAATCCTAATTGTGTATATGGCAAGGAGGAATAACATCTTGTAGGAGTGAGGAAGAGCCAGTTGTGAGTGTGGGGGAAGTTCATGAGGCAGTAGGTAAAATGAAAGGGGGTAAGGCAGCTGGGATTGATGGGATAAAGGTAGAAATGTTAAAAGCAGGTGGGGATATAGTTTTGGAGTGGTTGGTGCTATTATTTAATAAATGTATGGAAGAGGGTAAGGTACCTAGGGATTGGCAGAGAGCATGCATAGTTCCTTTGTATAAAGGCAAAGGGGGCAAAAGAGAGTGCAAAAATTATAGGGGGATAAGTCTGTTGAGTATACCTGGTAAAGTGTATGGTAGAGTTATTATTGAAAGAATTAAGAGTAAGACGGAGAATAGGATAGCAGATGAACAAGGAGGCTTTAGGAAAGGTAGGGGGTGTGTGGACCAGGTGTTTACAGTGAAACATATAAGTGAACAGTATTTAGATAAGGCTAAAGAGGTCTTTGTGGCATTTATGGATTTGGAAAAGGTGTATGACAGGGTGGATAGGGGGGCAATGTGGCAGATGTTGCAGGTGTATGGTGTAGGAGGTAGGTTACTGAAAGCAGTGAAGAGTGAGGCTCAAGTTAGAGTATGTAGGAAAGAGGGAAATTATTTCCCAGTAAAAGTAGGCCTTAGACAAGGATGTGTGATGTCCCCGTGGTTGTTTAATGTATTTATAGATGGGGTTGTAAGAGAATAAATGCGAGGGTCTTGGCAAGAGGTGTGGAGTTAAAAGATAAAGAATCACACATAAAGTGGGAGTTGTCACAGCTGTTCTTTGCTGATGACACTGTGCTCTTGGGAGATTCTGAAGAGAAGTTGCAGAGGTTGGTGGATGAATTTGGTAGGGTATGCAAAAGAAGAAAATACAGGAAAGAGTAAGGTTATGAGGATAACAAAAAGATAAGGTGATGAAAGATTGGATATCAAATTGGAGGGAGAGAGTATGGAGGAGGTGAATGTATTCAGATATTTGGGAGTGGACGTGTCAGCGGATGGGTCTATGAAAGATGAGGTGAATCATAGAATTGATGAGGGGAAAAGGGTGAGTGGTGCACTTAGGAGTCTGTGGAGACAAAGAACTTTGTCATTGGAGGCAAAGAGGGGAATGTATGAGAGTATAGTTTTACCAAGGCTCTTTTATGGGTGTGAAGCATGGGTGATGAATGTTGCAGCGAGGAGAAGGCTGGAGGCAGTGGAGATGTCATGTCTGAGGGCAGTGTGTGGTGTGAATATAATGCAGAGAATTCGTAGTTTGGAAGTTAGGAGGAGGTGTGGGATTGCCAAAACTGTTGTCCAGAGGGCTGAGGAAGGGTTGTTGAGGTGGTTCGGACATGTAGAGAGAATGGAGCGAAACAGAATGACTTCAAGAGTGTATCAGTCTGTAGTGGAAGGAAGGCGGGGTAGGGGTCGGCCTAGGAAAGGTTGGAGGGAGGGGGTAAAGGAGGTTTTGTGTGCGAGGGGCTTGGACTTCAAGCAGGCATGCGTGAGCGTGTTTGATAGGAGTGAATGGAGACAAATGATTTTTAATACGGCGGGTTAGGTTCCAGGCTATCACCAGAAAGCAGAATGCCATTTTTTTCCATTTATAAATGCATATAAATGCCAGACAACAAGTTTACACTAAATTATATTAAGTTAGTAAAATACATACACAGTACACTCACTGCTGTTGGAGTGTGAGCAAAGTAACATTTATGAAGGGATTCAGGGAAACCGGCAGGCTGGACTTGAGTCCTGGAGATGGGAAGTACAGTGCCTGCACTCTGAAGGAGGGGTGTTAATGTTGCAGTTTAAAAACTGTAGTGTAAAGCACCCTTCTGGCAAGACAGTGATGGAGTGAATGATGGTGAAAGTTTTTTTTTTCCGGCCGCCCTGCCTTGGTGGGAATCGGCCAGTGTGTTAATAAAAAAATAAAAAAAATAAAAAATTGTTTGACACAGACGAACATTGTTGCTAGTGGTGGTGGAGGTGGTGAGAGAGCTCTTGAAATTAATCTAAGGCAAATTTTTATGGGAGGTTAGGAGGTCCTGAATAGCTAACTGAACAGCTGAGTCTGCATGTTCATTGCCCTAACCATCAGCATATTCAGGGACCCAGCAGAATACTACTACTTTGTGCTTATAGAAATGGGACATAGGAGGTTAAGTGAACAAGCCATACCACGAGCGGGGATGGAACCCACGATCAGAGAGTCATAAAACTCCAGCCCAACTCTCTGATCGCAGGTTCTATCCTTGCGCGTGGTATAGTTTGTTTGCAATCGTTCATTATGATTTCGTGAGTCATGAAGTAAGTGAACTTTTGCATACAGAAGTATAGAGGAACAAACATGAATTGTTGGAACTTCACGAGGGGGAGGGAGAAGTAAGGGGCAGGTTGAATGTAAAGGATTGGTAAATGTAGAAAAGCCACGACATTGAATACATTAGAACCCCCGTATCCACTGATTTGGCATACGTGGTTTCAGTTATCCATAGTTTACTATAGCCCCAAAATACCTCTTAATTTTGCATAAGCTGGCAGTTCTTGAATGCCTAAGAGAAGTTGTGAAGTGCTTCCCCTCAGTGAAAAAATGACAATTTTTCATTTATTGTGCATAATTTATCAATTAAACTTTATAATAGGTATGTATAGGACTTATTTATAGGGTTTGCTACTATCCTGGTTTTGGTATCCACGGCAGGTCCTTGGAACGTATCCTCCACGGATGCAGGGTCCTACTGTACTGAGAGAAAAGGAGTATAATGAATAAGTGTGACACTTAAAGAAATTAGCCTTCCAATATCAGTGATTGTTCTGTAAGTGGAAGGGTTGTGGAGGTAGTGGAAACCGATAAAATAACGAGACAGTGGGTCTCCTATCTGTTTTGTAAAGACAGGACAATCACTTATGTATAGAGGCTCTTAACCAGGGAAGATCAAAAAGCCCTGAGATGCAAACGTAACCTTTGATGATGAATGGGATCAGGTGTAGAAAGAGAAGTGGAGGAGGTTGAGGAATATAGTTGGTCACCATAATTTAGGTTAATTATATAAGAAGGCTGAATGAAGGTGAAGAAGGGTTTGTCAAGAAAGATGGACTAGCAGCTTCCAGGGAGGTTGTGTGTGGCTTCCAGGACATTCAGTGATCCAACAGAAAACTGAGAAATTAAACTGTATCCTGTTCAGGGGTACAGGCACCATATAGGTATAGAACAATATGAGGATAATATGGTGTCTTGTAAAAGTTATCTGGTGTATTTTAACTTCAGAAAATTTTAACCCATGAGCAGTAGCTGATTGGAAACAGTCAATAGCACACTGGAGAGAGGAGCCTGCACAAGCTATAGCAAAATCTGCAACACAGAGAGATGACCATCCACTGGAAGGAAGAACAGGGGCAAGGTCATTAATGGTGAGCAGGAAGAGGGTAGTGCTGAGAATATAGCCTTGAGGTACATCTTCAACCTGGACAAAGTCAGGAAAAAGCTATTATTTACCCAAACACAGAAGTGTCTTTCTAAGGAAAAGTGGTAAATTGCCTCAGAGACTAAGGAATGGGCTTGGACTAAGATGTAATATCAGGTAGTGTCATAAGCCTTTTTGAGATCGAAAGGAAAATTGCAGTAACTGAGTGATTCTTATCAAAGGCATTGCAAACATATGAATCCAAGTGGATTTAAGGGTGCATATGTAGAACAGTCATTATGAAAACCAAATTAATGAGGGGAGAGAGAGCACTTTGGGGTTTGAAGTACCATACTAAACATTTAACTTAATGTTTCAGCAAATTGCACTAGTAAAAGCAATTGGTCTGTAGTTAGAGGTGTCATGGCTTGAAGCACCTAGCTTATGAAAAGGTAAGACAACAGCAGTTTTAAATTAAGTTAGGTAAGATTTGTCAGTAAACAGGAAAAGTATTTCCTGGCCGAGGCCTTCTTGGGTGAAACAAGATTGAAAAGATGTAAGAGGGCAACAAGCGCTGTAAGACGTTAACCCTTTCAGTGCCGAGACCCCTGATCCTCAATCCTTTGAGGGTCGAGACCCCTGATCCTCAATCCTTTGAGGGTCGAGACCCCTGATCCTCAATCCTTTGAGGGTCGAGACCCCTGATCCTCAATCCTTTGAGGGTCGAGACCCCTGATCCTTAACTCACTCAGGGTTGAAAAATTTTCAAAAAAAAAAAAAAAAAAATTCTTATGAAATGATAGAGTATCTTTTCCCGATGGTAATGACACCAAAAGTACGAAATTTGATGGAAAGTTTACGAAATTACGCTCTCACAATGTTAGTGATATCAGCGATATTTACGCACCAGCAACTTTGTCCACTTTAAGCTCTATTTTCGGCCAATTCCATTGTTTCAGTTGACTGAAATCATAGCTACTTCGCTAGAACTCCATTTGTTCTATTGATTAAGTACAAGAAACCACCCATTTACTGATTTCATCTACCCAATAAAGTGGTCAGAAATTGGCAATTTGACCAATTTCATCCAAATTCCAAAAGATGCCGATTTCAAAATAAGGTCCAGAATTACAAGACAGACATTCCTGGCACTAAAATAACATTTTCTGTGTGATGAATGGTTTTGAAAACCGACAAGTTGAAGAATTGAGACACTTTTATGCAACACATGGGAATCTTTATTGAAGAAACGTTTCACC